ATTGGACCGTTGGAGTGTCTGTTGTCGCTTCCTACACCGTCGGAGCCTAGCCATATGTCCTAATGGTTTGTCCAAGTGTGTAGGACAAAAAGTTCACGTGGACATCAGAAGAGTTGCAATCTATTAGCCACATCACTTATATGAAAAGTGGGGTCAACATTAAGTTTCGGCCAAAAATGAAAATAATTATAAACAAATAATTCGGGTATGCAAAAATATAGAATCTTATAACACAAAAAGGTGTGGACGTTGAGCTTGGAAATTATGTTTTAATCATCTTATAAACAAAGTTTTGTTTACCGACAAAAAANGACGTTGAGCTTGGAAATTATGTTTTAATCATTTTATAAACAAATTTTTGTTTACCGACAAAAAACAAGAACTAGATTAAAAGAAAGCGAATGAAAAAAATGTGAATTCAACAAAAAGAATCCCCCAAAAGAAAAAAGATAAAGAATTAAGAAAAAAAATTAGACATGGCCTTATTAAGCTCCTATTTGGGCTTCATTTTTGTGGAAATACATTTTTATTTTTTTTATTTTTAATCATACATTCTTTAATAAAATAATATTACATATAAATTCAAAACGCTTTCTTATTTTTTAACCACACTTTCTCCCAAAAAAATTACTATTCCAAAAACATATTTTTTATGGATCCCAAAAAGTAGCTAAAGAGACTTACAAAACATTAGATTAAGAAAAACTAATTAATTGTAAACTATTTATTAGGTCATTGGTGGTGGGGTAGCTGGTCGGGGGCATGCTAGGATTGGGGTGGAGATGCATTTTTATTATTTTTCTATTAAGGGCGTGTTCGATAGAGATTAAACTTGGATTAAAATTGAAAAACTAGTCTTATTGTTGACTTTTATTATACGAATGAGACCAATAATGACTACATTTTCAATTTTAATTGAATTTTAATCTTTATCAAACAAGCATTAAATTTACAACTCTGTTACATGTACACTTAGTTTGACTTTTTAGTTGACATTCTATGATTTGGCAGTCAATCTAGTCATTGATTTGAATAACACTTATTGATCAACAGCTAGATTTTTAACACATCATAGAATGTACATCAAGGTGTTCAAAGTAGATGTACAATGAGCTTGATTCTTAGAATTGTCACATACTCACTTTTTGTTGATAAAGTGAGTTATACGGACTTTTTATATGTTTGGGACAATAGATATGACTTAAATGCTAAAAAGC